CCTCCAGAAGCTCCTTTCGGTCTTAATTTGTTAGAAAATCCCACGCTTTCTCAAAAATCTCCCAAAATGAAAAATCAGAATAAAAAAATGGATTTAAAACAGAATAATTCTAAAATGTTGCTCCAGTTTCATAAATCTATGTATTTCTAATCAGTAGGTCAAGATCTAGATATTCTACAATTTTTTTTGCGGATTTTTAGGAGATATTTCTCCGTAGATTTCGAGTTCTTTTCAACTTTATTTTGTCAAAAAATTCGACCATTTTTCAAATATGAATTTGAACTCAAATATTTATAAAACCTTGCTCCTATGTCTTTCTAATCAGTATGTAAAGATCTACATATTCTACAATTTTTGTGTAAATTTTTGGGAAATTTTTCCCAAACGCTCAATTGTTCAATATTTACGAAATTTTCGACAATTTTTCGACCAACTTTGAAAATTGTATAAAGAAATTTCTGTGTGGATTTCGACCTCCAGAGCTTCTTTTGGTCTTACTTTGTCAAAAAATCCTACGTTTTTCAAAAATCTCCCAATCAAATATGGCAATTTAAAAAAAAATTTAATTTGAAACCAAATATTTCTAAAATCTTGCTCCAGTTCCATAAATATTCTATGTATTTCGAATCACTACGCCAAGATCTACATATTCTACAATTTTGTTTGTCGATTTTTAAGAGATTTTTTCAAAAGCTCAATTTTTCAATATTTACGAAATATTCTAAAATTTTTGGGTCACCTTCGAAAATTGCATAAAGAGATTTCTCCGCACATTCCGACATGCAGAAGTCGTTTTCGACCTTATTTTGTGAAAAAATCCGACCATTTTTCAAAAATCTCCCAACGAAGTATGGCACTTTTAGAATGAGAAAAAAAAAAGAAATGAATTTGAAATCGAATATTTCTAAAATTTTGCTCCTATGTTTTTGTAATCAGCATGTCAAAATCTATATCTCAATTTTCCAATACTTCGACATTTTTTTACCAGTTTCGAAAATATATAGAGAAATTTCTCCGAATTTCGATATTTAGAAGTTCGTTTCGGCTCTATTTTGTCAAATAATCATTATTTTTCAAAAATCTCTCAATAAATTATGGTAATTTTTTGAAATAAAAATGAATTAGTATGTCAAGGACTATATCCTAGGTTTTTTTGTGGATTTCTTGGAAACTTTTCCAACAATTCAATTTTCCAATCCTTAACGAAATATTCGACATTCTTTTACCAGTAATCAGTATGTCAAGATCTATATCCTAGAATCTTTTGTAGATCTTTAGGCAATTTTTCAATACTCTCCTCTTATGAAATTTTCGATCTTCTATCCACCACTTTCGAAAAAAAATTTTTCTTGTAGATTTCGACCTCCCGAAGTTACTTTCGGTCTTATTTTGTCAAAAACTCCTAACATTTTTTCAGTCTCTTAATAAATAATTATGGCAATTTTTTGAATTACAAAAAAATTCAAATTAAATATTTCTAAAAGCTTGCTTCGGTTCTAGCATACTATGTATTTTTTTAATCAGTTATAAAATCTTACGTCAAGATCTATATCTTAATTTTTTTTTATAGATTTTTAGGCAACTTTTCAAAGCTCCATTTATCAATACATACCTACATTTATAAAATTTTCGACATTCTTTAGACCGATTTCGAAATCATATAAGAAATTTTTTTTTGGATTTCGACCTCTAGAATTTCCTTTCAACTTTAATGTGTCAAAAAATTCGACCAATTTTCAAAAATCTCCCAACGGAATATGGCAACTTTTAGAATAAAAAAAAAAGGATTGGAAAACGAATATTTCTAAAACCTCGCTCCGGTACCATAAATACTCTATTGTTTCTAGTCAGTATGTGAAGATCTACGAATTTTTTGTGGATTTTTTGGAAACTTGTTGAAGAGCTTCATTTTCCAATACTTACGAAATATTCGATATTTTTTCTACCAGTTTCGAAAATGTATAAAGAGATTTTTTTGGATTTCGAATTTTAGAAGTTTCTTTCCTTTTATCAAAAAATCCTCATTTTTCAAAAATCTCCCAACGAAATATGACAATTTAAAAAAAAAAAACCGAATTTTTCTAAAATCTCGCTCCCGTACCATAAAGAACCTACATTTTTCTGATCAGTATGGCAAGATCTATATCCTAGAATTTTTTCTAGACTTTTTGGAAATTTTTCTAAAACTCAATTTTTCAATACCTAGGAAATATTCGAAATTTTTCTTCCAGTTTCGAAGATGTATAAAGAGATTTCTATGCATTTTTCCCCTTTCGGTTCCATTTCGTCAAAAAAATCCTCATTTTTTTAATGATATCACAATGAAATATGGCAATTTTTTTAAATAAAAATGAATTTGAGACCGAATATTTCTAAAATCTTGCTCCCGTACCATGAAGATCCTATGTTTTTCTAATCAGTATGTCAAGATCTATATCCTAATATATTTTTTTGTACATTTTTAGGCAATTTTTCAAATCCTCAATTTTCAATACTGTGCCCCTATGAAATTTTCGACGTTCTTTCGACCAGTTTCAAAAATCGTATAAAAAAATTTTTCTTGTAGATTTCAACCTCCAGAAATTCCTTTCGTTCTTATTTTGTCAAAAATTCCTAACATTTTTCGAAGTTTCCTAATAAAATATGTGAATTTTTAGAGATAGAAAAAATGTTGAAACCAAATATTTGTAAAAGCTTGCTGCGGTTCTGCAAATAGGCTATATTTTTCTAATCAGAATATATGTGAAATCTTACGTCAATACGTATGAGTACGTCAAGATCTATATCCTAATATACTTTTTTTTTGTACATTTTTAGGTAACTTTTCAAAATTTCAATTTTTCAACACATACCTCTATTTATGAAATTTTCGACATTCTTTCGAACGGCTTCGACAATCATATAAGAAGATTTTTTTTATTTCGACCTCTAGCAGTTCCTTTCATTCTTATTTTGTCAAATACCCTACATTTTTCCAAAATCTCCTAACAAAATATGGCAATTTTTAGAATAAAAAAAAGAAGAATTTGAAACCGAATATTTCTAAAGTCTTGCTCTGGGACCAGATTAAAACTCCATCTTTTTCTAATCAGTATGTCAAGAATATTCCAGAATTTTTTTAGATTTTTAATGAAGTTTTTCATATTCTCAATTTTTATATATAGCCCTTATAAATTTTCGACCACCTTGGAGAATTATCTAAAGTGATTTTTTTGTTATTTCGACCTCTGAAAGTTACTTTTAGCCTCATTTCGTTGAAAACACCTACCATCTTCCAGAATCGCCCAATGAAAAATGGTAATTTTGAATATTAGAAAAATGATTTTCACACCAAATATTTCTAAAGTCTTGCCTTGAGATCATAAACAATATAATCTTGGAATCAGTACAACGAGATTTTTTTGTGGATTTTGAGGTAAATTTTCCAAAAACTCAATTTTTTAACACTTCTCCATTATTATGAAAATCTTTTTTGGCCATGTTCAGAGAGATTTTGTGTGGATTTTACGTCCAGAAGTTACTTTCAGCCTTATTTTTCCGAAAATTCCTATCATTTTTCCAAAATCGTCCGATGAAATATTACAATTAAAAAAAAAAGATTTTGAAACCTATAGTTTCTAAAATAATGGTATGTTTTCGAATTTCGTAATAATGTAATACGTGGTTATACTTTACTACGCTAAGTAGGTACTCGAGTTCCAAAATTTACTTTCGGCTTCGTTTCTTTGAAAATTCCTACCATTTTTTTGAAATCGTCCAAAGAGATATTTTCTCACTAAATTTTTCCATGCCTTTAGCGAGTCAAAAGCGTTTTGAAAATTCACTAATTTTGTAGGATAAACACGAAAACTGTGACTCCAATTTTATTTCTAAATCGGATTTCACTTTAGGAAAAAAATTAGAAAACGTTACTCTTTTCGCAGTTTTTCCGGTTATTTAAGAATCTTGCATTCCTGCCATAAATTAGTTCGGACCGAACGTTCTTTTAGTATTAACGACAAGAAACCGGTCTCCATACAAATTCAATTACTTGAATTAAAAACGTCTACTCGATTCACCTCATTTAAAAGCTCTCCCCATAGTTCGACGAGTTTAAAGTTGTATCAGAATATAATTGAATTCACAAATGTGATTAAACGAACCTTGAGTAAAATAATAGTTTTAAAATAATTGAGAAAGTAATGAATTCAAAATAGTAACAGATGTCGAACGTTGTTTATTTTAAAAAAACAAAAATCTAGATATTACCAGTAACAGTGTAAGAAAAAAGAGTGGAATGAGTTAATAAAATCATTCATGAATTATTTTTGTTAGGGAAATTCATTGTATAACATAAATATTTATAATACCATTTATTATTCAAACCTGTGTTGATAAACATAATAAAAGATCGTACTGAAAAAGTTTGTTTCTAGTTATTAGTTGTATGCAGCACGTGTTACAAATTTATTTTTACCTTCCTGTGGAAAATATAACAACAAAACCCGACATGAAAACCATTGAAAATTTCAGTGTTGCACTATCGACACTCCACATTTACTATTGATTGATTTTGAATTGTTAGTTAACCTGTAAACACATTAGCTATTCACGAAACCCGTATTCATGAACAATGGCAAATCATTCCACACCGACTAGTTTGAGCTCGTGAATAGCTAATACTCAGTTTGGTTACAAATTTCGTTTTTTCGTTACACAACCGATGATTTAACGTAATCAACGCAATGATTACATTTTAATAATATTTTAGCAATTACTAGAGCCAAGCGTAATTATTATTGATTAAACGAATAACCTAATAAAAAATTTAGATTGCATGCTTACATGGTGGCTGCTTAATTGACACTCAAGTTTGATTGCTTCAATAAAACCGAGAGGAGCACGACATTCACCAGAACGTATTTAGGGCTCCTTTTGCAATTTTGCGTGTTGGTAAAGCAGTACCAAGTACTCTACAATTTCGAAATCCTCTAAAATTCACAACGACTGGTTTAACGTACCATTGTGCGATGAATTCTGGCCCGATGGTGTAAACCGGCGTAGTTCTGTTTATTTCGGTGGTAATGAGGGAGGAAGGCTCCGTGAAGTTCTCCGCCATATCGCCTCTTCCTCACCTACCCGGATCCGTTTTCATCTCTTTGACATGTTTATTAACGCTCCATGGAACGACCTGAAAGATGTTTGTGATTAATAATTTCGCAAATGAGGGAAAGCGACAACAACGTGACAATTCCCATCTCATTAAATAAAAATAATTGGATTTTGGTCCGATTTCACCTCGCCAGACCCAATTAGGAGCTGCTTGCCAGCCACTTTAAGGCACCTCGTAAAAAGTGTATAATGGAAACTCGTTTGTTACGGTGGTAATTCGAGACGATCTCTAACCTTATGGAGCAGGGATCGGGCGAATTCGATGCCGGTTTCTCGGGATTAATATCCCAAAAGAAGGAGTAAAATTTATTGGGGATAACTAGGTGCAGTGCTGATTTTATGGCCCATAAGAAGATTGTTGCGGAATCTTTTTTTCTTGCTGATAATTACAAGTTAATACACTGTGTTCAAAATATAAGGTCCTACACAACGTCTGTCTACATTTATTACAATTAATTAACATAAAGTATTAGTTTAGACCAAGAATCTTATCCAGTTGAGTACACAAAATAATAATAATCTAAATAAGATTTATATTCCAAGATTAAAAAAATCACCCCATTGGTGAAAGAGAAACCAAAAGGTGGGACCTCAGATTAGTCGTTTTCCAGGACTACCGAAGTATTTACACATGTTCACACTTGACAAACATAAAAGGAAAGTTATTGGAACTAGGTCAAATAATGAAAACAGGGATAGCTGAGTTGTAGCTAGTGCTACCAGTAATAACAACAAAATAAATTAAATTTAAAATAATTAATTACAAAATTGTAAAAGACATTTTTTAAATAAAATTTTCGCATCTACGCTTATACTGAATTTGATTTTGGTTTATGAATTATAGCGCTTCATTCAAAGCATGATTGTATTTTTGTTTTTTGCAAATATTAAGTGTAATTATATCGGGTGATTTTTTAAATTTCTGCTCTAGTTGGCCATGACGCTTACGTCAACCTTTCCAACTGCGTTTAAAAAAACACACGGTATAAACCTTAAAGAATCATCGTAATTGTGAATTAAGAAATCTTTATGCGACGAAGGAAATTGTTCGTTTTTAGGTAATAGTTTTAAAAGAATTTAATTTTTAAACCGAGATTGAAAAAAGCATAAAATAACAGGTTTTATTAACGAAAGGTTGATCTAAGCTACTAGACATAACTTTCCTCCCCTATGAAATACAGCACAATAAATCCACTTTCTCCGAAAAATTATAAAATTTGATTTATTTTTGGATAACCCCTAACCTATACGTTAAAAAAATGTTGACGAGCATGGTATTCGAACTCACGCGAGGAACGCTCATGTTTAACGATTTAACCACTCGTACTTGTTCCCTGCGTAAGCCAGATATCGACTGCAGGCAAAGATTGAACATTTTTATAAAGTAATTGTGATAAAAATTAGAGGCGGATTCATAAACCACAAGTACAGGGATATATTATTTTGTAGAATTTAAATGGCAATTACTACGCAGAATATTGAAGTAACGCTATGAAACGCTTTAGCATTTACACAATAGTTTTATATATAAAATCTGAAAACAATCGGTTCAGTAGTTTCTTTGATTGTCTGTCTAATACAGACATAGACAACAGACGGAAACGGGGATCCTATTTTTGATTCTATAAACGTCATCAAACGTCGAAGAAACATGAACATAGGTGGTCCTTACTCCAAACTGCCTTAGCTTATATTCGGAAAGTTAAAGGTTAATAATCCTTTTAAAATGATTTTACTTAACCCAAAAACAAAAGATAGGTACCAAGCAGAGCTGTTCAAAGTACTCAAAAAAAGTACTTGAAGTACCAAGTACAAAGTACTACTTGAAACAGTGTTCAAGTAAAGTACCAAGTACTTACTTTCAGCAAGAGTATTTCAAGTATCAAGTACTTTTCAGATGTACTTGAAGTACAAGCCAAGTACATTACTTCAAGTACTTACAAATACTTGAAGTACTGAAAATGCTTCAAGTACTTTCTAATTATTTGAAATACTGTAGAACTAGATAACTTTTCCTGTTTTTTTAAAAAAGCTTAATATATTTTAGAACTGAATTTTTTAATACTCAGAATTTAAGTATACAATAATACATATTTCGCCACATAAAAAATTGCATAAGCATCAACTTAAATGCAGAATGGTAGCTCACTTATTAATAATACTATGTTATTTATAAACAATATTCTTTTGAAATACTTTTTATCACGCTTTTATTAGCTTGGGTTGTATGTATCTATGTATGTATGTAACGGAATCTTTGAGCTTAATTTTCATCGGTTTCTAAAAGTCTGATCATCTTGAAACTTTGCACACGTCTCAAGGATCGATGACAATGCAATAATTTGATAACAGTTTCCCATTATCCTTATTAGGACCGCCAGGATTTATAAATTCTTTTATGGATCCTGTGTAGTGGAGTAAAAGAGATAAAGCTAGCGCGCGATCTGCGCATGCCTGTAGTATCTGGTTTTTCTCTTCGTTGTAATAATTATAGTCTTGATTAAAATACAAATAACGGATATTAAATGAAAAAAACAAGAACGGACTTTTAATTAACTAAACGTGTGCAAATAAAATGGCTGATCGCATCTTAATTGTGTCAGTATATACCACGGTTATCTCTCTCCGTGTCGATTATACCGATCTATACCGATTATTTCTGTTTCAAGGACAATTTCTGCATAGCTTTGGTTTTACAGTCGGTAAAGAAGGAATTAATTATAATTAAAACATATCTAATCATGAATTCTCACCAACTTAAATAAAGATAACAAATTTTGATTCAGAAATACAAACATGGAGGAAAATTAACTATTTGGGGGGTAAAACTAACCACAATGATGAATTGTGTCCCGTTGGTCCGTGAGGGCGATTGATTTCGAACTAATTCCCGTTGATCGATCATACGGAGACCACTGAGTGGTTCTTTCTAGAAAAATCTAAATAAGTAATTAATTCCCCAATTTATGAATTTGTCGCAGACTAAAAAATGAAAAATAAATAATAGTTTAAAAAACTAAAAAAACACGCTTTTATTGCTAATCGAACTAAAAACTAGAAAATAATTTTTAATGACAGAGTTTAATATTACAGTAGTAGAAGATCAAACAATCAATCATAATAAATCACCTCAAATTAAAATTATAATAAAATTTAAGTTATTAACAGAATAATTCAATTCAGAGTAAAAAGCGTGGGGTGCATTTTACTGCGGTTCATAACTATCCTCTCATAGATAGTTGCCAATAGAATGATTGTAATATTTAAAATATCAAGCACCCCACGCTTTTTACTCTGAATTGAATTATTCTGTTAATAACTTAAATTTTATTATAATTTTAATTTGAGGTGATTTATTATGATTGATTGTTTGATCTTCTACTACTGTAATATTAAACTCTGTCATTAAAAATTATTTTCTAGTTTTTAGTTCGATTAGCAATAAAAGCGTGTTTTTTTAGTTTCTTAAACTATTATTTATACATCTTTCTGTTGACACAATGCCTTCGACAAAATTAACGTCTATTTCTAATTTAAAATTTAAAATAAAATACATGACGGCGTTGTCTATGTATGCTTACTATTAATTTATAACAAAAACATCGGCGCTGTATGGTATTTTCTCAGGCTTCTGTTGCCTTTTTTTAATATTTTGAATTTTGGTTCACCACCAAAACGTTCTGATAAAGTTGTGTTAAAAATATATGAATTTTATGAACCGGTTCCGTGTTTAAGTTTGTGGGTAGTTTACAGCACCCTTAATCATTACCCATTATGAAAGTGCACAGGGCCGGATTTGTGAAACTGAAATTTTTCAGAAAAAAATTTTAAGAGCAGTGCGATACATATACATGCTCGTGACATAAAAATGTTTAAGTTACTATGTTGCATTTTCAAAAAAAACGTATGAATTTTTTAAATAAAAAATAAAATGCCTAAAACGAGAGTCCATTTTCAGCGAAAACTATAACTCTTGAAAAATATCAAGGTGATCAAAGTAATTAGTCTTTTTTTACTTTTGCGGTTACCAAAAATGCTGAGAAATATTCCTGAATATATCTGTCTACCACTTACGTATTTACTATTCTAAAAATTATTAAATTAACCTAAATACTACAGTGACTAAATAGTAAACACTAATCACTACAATGTTTGTCTAACTAAGTATGTAACTTTACACTGACAAATCACAAATAATAGGTTCATAATGCTGTTCCGTCCATTTATACAAAATTTTGTTCCTCTAATGCCACAATACTTTCAAAATTTTCCTTTACATTTTCGATTGGCTTATTTTTTATTTTTACCTGAAAACCCAAAGGAGATGACATTAGTAACTGATAACTACAATGACTTCAGGGAATGCCTAACAACGGCTTTTGCGAAAATTCAGGTAAATATGTACTAAATTTATTATTGTTAAAAGATTTCGTAGGGGTGCATTTATCTAGGCAATTATACTAACTAATCGCGAATTTCATTAACTTTGTATTTTTTTATATGTGAATATGTATACTGTTCCTTTTACGCAAGCGGCCACTGACCCTTTTGGGTATCTTTACCTGATATTGTAAATACAAATGTAAATTCAGTACTTCTGTAACCGTCCTGTATTTAAACATCGAAACCGAACGCTGTCTATTATTTCGCACACAACAAAACAAAGGTCCTTCGAGCAATATCAAAATACAATTCGGTACTCATCAAAACCATACAATCATGGTGATACGACACTGTATTACAAAAAACATTGGTACTACGAGCCGAGTTTCACAAAACATATTTCATTTTGAACAATATTGGGTTTATGTAATAAGCGATGCAATGTAATACGTAAAGTTGTTATACGGTAATAAATAAAATCCGCACAGGAAAGATAAATGACACTAATTAGTCTGGCTTTTAAAATCATTGTTTTTCTGCATTACGTCTTTTTAAATTGTTGGTGTTCAAATAATTCATACAATTTAACAGATTATTTGAAACTGTAATGTGAGAAAATATAAGTAGTAATAACAA